GTTTTTTCTGTGTCTTTTGGCATGATGAAGTTGCTGTTTGAAGTAATAGTTGTTAGTTTGTTTGTTGGTAGCAGTTTCTTTTACTTAGAGTCCTTCTCGGAGGAAAGTTTTCTTTGTTTTTGTTGTTTTCTTTTTTTTTCTATTTTGGTACAGTATAGTAGAGTGAGTTACGGGAAAAGATTTATATTTTTATTAGAATAAATTCTTCTTTATAATTAGAATAGATTAATATAATTTATATTTCAATTCTTTAGATACTTTTCGAGCAACTCTTTCCATAGATCATTAAGACCATTTTTAGAGCTAAAGCAAAAATGTAATTTTTAAAGAAACTATATTAAGAAACACTACAAGAGGCAATAAGCAAAATGAAAGAGCACACAAAGTTATATCTAACAGAAAGTAAAAGATAGGAAACCAAAAAAAGATCTAGAAGAAAACTCAATTTTCAAAAAAAATTCATGAAAATTTTTAGAAAAAGTGGGAATTTGAATTCACCTATCTCACAGATCCTTTAATGTAACACAAGAGTTACAAAACAAAGTAAATAAACTATACATGAGGAAATCACTAATTTGATGTGTTATGTATAAGCCAATAGAAGAGAAGTATACAGCGTCTAAACCAGACAAAATGCAAGCAATCAGGAAATATCTTAGGGTTTTTAGCAAAAAAAGCTAAAGTTATTTTAAGAAGTAAAGAATACAACTACTCATAATGTCAGAAGGAAAAAATTCTTCAAGGCAGTCAGAAAAAAGCTTCTCACCAAGCAAGAAAAAGGTAGCAAGCTTAAAAACAATGCTTAAAAAAAGAGGAACTACAGAAGCTTACTAGTGTAATTGAGAGTATAGAAGGAAGTAGGGAGCAAATAGATAATTATATTTCTAGAATCACAGGAATAAGTACCAAAGTAATCACAGTAACTAGGAATTGGTGCAGAATAATTAAAAAAATAATTATTGAAGAAGGTAGAGAAGTACTGAACATTGCTCTTGAAGAGCTCGAACAGGAATTATTAATTGCTAAAGAGGCTAAAGAAAGCAAAACAAAGACTAAAGAGAATGCGAACACAATATCAGAAGCTAATTAATAGTTTAAAGAAGTTGTACAAGAGTTAACAGAGGTAGTAGATTAAAAAATAACTACTAAGTCAGCTAAGTCTAACGTATTCTATGATAAATTGCTTAAGCAGAAAGTATAGAGAACAATACAAAATCAATAATTTCTAAAGAAATTGAGCATCTGAATAGGAAAATTGCAATGAGTAGCAAGACAGCAGTTGATATCCTATTTACAGATAGAGAGTTAAAAAAGGATTATAAAATATTTAACTCTCAAAAAACTAGTACAGCAGTGAGTAGGTGTACTTTAAATAGCGAGGTCAATTCTGGCAGTACAGGGTCTGCAGAATTTGAGCTTGTAGACTTAGCCTTGCATACAAAAGATATAATCTTTGAGGACTCAAAAGATGCTTTACTTGGAACTTTGCAAAAAGAAATTAATGATCCAAAGGAGTATTGGAGAAAGCAACTAGATTATGCAGTTGCAAACTATAAAGAACTGCAAGGAATCTCTCTTGAAAATAGTTAGTAGGCACTTAACGAAAATACCTGTGAGAAAATAGGAAAATATAGAGCGAAGATTTCCTCTAACTCACTTCTTGGAAAATCAAAAGAAGAACGAATCAAATTTATAAAAGAAACACTATATAAAAGTATTCATATAAATGAGATTATCGAGTACTTTGAAAATAGAAACAGTTGTGTAGTTATCATCTTTGATTGCCTAAAGGTCTAAATATCTTAAGAGAGAAACTCAAAAAAAAGGAGATTGAATAGTATAATGTAATCTTTAACAATTATGAAACTACTAAAGATCTAAAGAACTTCTCAAAAAGCTGCTGAAAGCAAAAATATCGAATTTAGAGAATAAGACTCCTACTCAGAAGGTTAACAAGTCACAAACCAAAAAAGAAAAGCCAAGAATAGGAGTTAAGAAATTAGTAGACAAAGAAAGGAAAGACACAATCAAAGAAAACATAATCACAGTATAGGACCTTTCAAAATAAGTAAAAAGAGTATACATCTTCAAATCTGTACGTTATCTTAGATGAATTAGTTATATTGAGATAATTAGTGAAACAGGTGGAAAAACACGTGCAGAAATTGAGTTTATACCAAAGGCTATTTTTGTAGAGAACCTTACAGATGTATAGTGTATTTCTCTTCTGAGCAACTATTTGGTGAGAGTTACACTAGGAAGAAACAATACAGAGATACTTAAATCTCATACCAAATTTTCTAGAAAGATTCTAGATTTACCAGAAGATGCAAATAAGGTACTACTGTGGAGACAAGTTAAACGAACAGAAGCTAAGGCTTTGCATATCTTTAAGAATGCAAATAACAATAATAAAAGAAGTATGACAGTCTACTTTGCGAGTGAAATGGATCTTTTGAAAAGCCCAAAGTTCTCAGTTTACTACTATAATGATAAACTGAAATAGACAATATTCAGAAATAATAGCTCTTGAAGAAGAGGAATACTCTTCAGTTAACAAGGTTTTACTAGTTACTCCACAAAAGTTAAGCTACAAGAGTCTAGAAAAAAGGAAAGAAACAAAGCAAGATCCAGATGAAGGATGCTCGAAGTATGTATATCGAGAACATGAATATAGAAAAACAGAGCTAACAATACAAAAAGAGTATGCAGAATATAGCGGCTATGAGTACGAGCAAGAAAATGAATTTGCAAGAAACTCACAGACAGATTTAGATGATATTAGCTCTGAGTTTTCTGAAAGAAGTAATATAAATAGAGCAAGCAATCATAGGAACAGAAGTAGGAAGAGTCAGTAGTCTCCTAATTATGAAAGATCTCAAAATAGCAAAGATAATAGTTTAAGTATGAGAGAAGTTCTTAAGAGTCTACTCACACTTGCAGAAAGAGAAGAGTACTTATCAGAAAGAAAGAATAGATATAAGAGTCACAAAACTTCTGATCACTTTTAATTTGTAGCACTTGTTGAATTACAGTTTGTTCAGATTTCTCAAGAAGGAAAACTTAGAAATCAACAAAGGGCAAAAAACTCAGTAAACCAAGAGCAAATATATAGTTTGAGAAGAGGTAGGAGTCAATTGAAAAGAGTTAGAATTCAAGAAGTAGATACAAACTTTAGAATACTTAAGGTAGCAACTCAAAATATTAATAGAATTAAGAGTAATAATACAAAGGTAGAGTTACTAGCAGAATAGGCAAATGAACAAAAAGTAGATATCATAGGGTTAAACGAATCTAATATAAGTAAAAAGCAAGGCAAATTTGTGTTGGGAAATAATACAAGATTTGTAAGCTTTTGGATTTCAGCAGAAGAAGACAAAACCAAAGGCTCAGAAGTAGAGCTCTTAGTTAACAGAGTATGAGAAAAGTACATAGGGAGCATTTCAAGGTGTAATAGCTACTATATAAACATTTTGTTGGTTTTCAAAAAGGTTAAAATATTAGTAGTAGTAGCATATATCCTACCTAATAATAAGATCATTAAGAAACTACTACAAAAGCATATTATAAAAAAGATTCGAGAATATGAAAGAAGAAATATTAAAGTTATCATTATGAGTGACTTCAATAATATTCGCTCTAACCTTCTAGATTAGAACAACCCAGAATCCAAAAAAAAACAAGTACTCCTACTTCTAGTCTAGTTAGAAAGTTCTACATTTGAAGATGCATTCAGAAAGATTCATCCATACAGGAAAGAATTCATATAGTCTAATAGTAAACTAAGCTCAAGAATAGATTACATCTGGGCCTCTAAAAACCTAAGCCAAGGCTTAATAAAATATGAAATTACAGGAGCAGAGTGCATCACAGGTAGTGATTACAAAATCATTTCAGTGCAATTTATTACAGGCTTCAGTCAAAATAGCAGATCAGTAGCAAAAAACAAGAAAATAAAAGGAAAGCAACATATTTTGAAACTTGAAAAGGCAACTGATGAAGAGTGAGAAACCTATAGAACAAACTTAGAGAAGCTTTTTAAAGAAAGATATGCCAATTGTCTGCAAGGTTTATCTATAGAAAAATTTTATGAGAGAAATAATCTTGATGAGCTATAGGATATCATCTCAAATTCATTCTTAAAAGTACATACAAGTCACTATCAAGCAAAGAAATTTGTATAGGATCCCTCCCTATTAAGATTAACAATAGCAGCACCAAAATTCTCAGAGATCTGCGAGCAATAGGCAAACTATATCATGTATGTTCAGTAGAACAGAGAAAGCATATTGAGATAGGAGTAAGAAACAAATAGTCAGCTATAATCAATGAAATAAATGTAAAACTAGATATAACAATAGAAGAACTAACAGAAGAAACTTGGACAAAAGAGAGAGCCAAGGTTCTCAAAGCTTAGTAGAAGATTATCTATATGAAAGTACAGTATAAAAGAAAAAAAGAAGATCTGAATAACATTAATGAAGTAGTTGATAATAGGTATGCTGCAATATAGTGTGAGCTTAAACATATGCTAAGTTGCTTACTTGAGAGATTATCGAACAGAATTAGACTTGACAGAGTACGAGTTAAGAAGGAATCAGACTTCTTGTTACTTATAGAAGAAATTGAGGTTCAGAAAGAAGTAAGATCCTATTTTATAAAGTAGTTCTGTAAACGCAAAGTAGATGATAGTAGAACTTCTCTTATACTTAAACTATTATCTTTGCTATCTTGAGATCTTTCATAATTAGGAGACTGCTAACTTCTTCTACTTCTGTTCTTGTAATTGCTTGCTCTATTTGTATTACTTCTTTCTGAAAACTCAGAGCTACTATCATCAAAATCTGTTTGCGAATTTCTTACAGATTTATTTTCTTGCTTATATTCATAGCCGCTATATTTTGCATAATCTTTTTGTATTGTTAACTCTGTTTTTCTGTATTCAT